GCGCACTGCACACACACACAAATATCGCATAAGTTGTAAATTTAATCCGCTATAACGTATTACATGTATTTGTAATACAATAAATGTATGTATGTTTAAATATTATCTCTCTATAATGAGTACAGGCAAATCATTTTCTTTAATCGTTTTTACTTTTGAAATATTTCAATAACGTTTGGATTGGCCTGTAATTAAGCTATAATCGATAAATAATATATAGGGCCTACACACACAAACACACACATACAGAGAGAGAGAGAGAGAGAGAGAGAGAGAGAGAGAGAGAGAGAGAGAGAGAGAGAGAGAGAGAGCATCGTTTGTTGTTTAATTAAAGTTTAAAGCTCATATTATGTTTTGTTACCATATGTGAATTCATATAATGAGGATAGATATCTAAATCTAGACCACCTTATGATCGGAGTCATGGCGATAAAAAAAGTCCCAAAAGAACAGAGACAGCTAGGCTAGACTTTCTAGCTCCTGTCTGTCCCACCACGTCGAATTAGGTATAGGCTACTTAAGGCTACATATAAGAGCCAGCAGCGAATTGGCTTTCTGATACCAATTTTTCTGAGCTGGGAGGGAGCGCACTGAAAAGGAAGATCAAGTCTAGGCCTGGGAGCAGAGACCGCAGAGTCGCAGAGGTCTAATAATAACTAATAATCATTGCCATGCCAAGGAGAAGGCAGAGACCAGAGCTTTGTAAACTCCTTGGCAGAGACCAACATATTATTATAGTAGTGTGCCAAAGAAGGGTCAATGACCTGTTTGATCCAGGCCAAGGCCAGGGCCGGAGGAACTGAATAGGAAATAACTGTAATCAAAGTTTTTATTTGTTTGTGTGTTTGTTTGTTGCTGTTTTTTGTTGTTTTTATTTTGTTTTTAAGTCAGAGCGCAGCGTCCAACAAATCATCAATTAAATTGACGTGAGATCAGATAAAAATAAAAAGACAGAAATTAGTCTGTTGGGCGACAGGCTGGTTCCAGTTTGCGCAGTTTGCGGCGGTTTTTAACTCGGGCACCGAGTGACATCTTTTAAAAATCTTAATCATTTCATTTATTTATTCATAGTTTTGGCGTCTGGCCACCTCTATTCTCACCCGGAGTGAGAATAGTGCAGGCGAGTCTTGTGGCTATTCTCACCCGGCGCGCGTTCACCAAATTTTGCGTTCACCCTAAACCACAGAATTCTACACTGTGATAACAGAAAAATTGTAGAATTATGTGCCGTGAACAAACGTTCCATTACAACTGTAGCCTACTAAAAGCGTACAATTTTGTCTGTGGGCAGTGGAGAGAGAGAGAGAAAGAGAGAGAGGAGTAGCGCGAGAATTTCCGGGCAAAACAAAATGGCGACCCGCGTAGTTCGGCTCGATTCGAAAAGTTAAATATCGTAGCATCTTTGTAGACAACCAAATTAATTTACTTTTGTGTTTTAACATCATTTTTAAACTTTGTTTTGGTCAATTTGATCGTCCACACCGATAGACAGTATTCAGAAAGAGACAGAGAGAGAGAGAGAAGAGGGGAGGAGTTGATCTTGCGAGAACTTCCGGCGGGTGAGAATAGCCACTTTCTTTGGGAAAATCTCAATACTAAGGTATGCATTAAAATTAAACCAATGAGGTAGGTCTACACATTTTCCCCATAGCCTGATTTACTGATTTAATGTCGTGCATGTTCATGTTTGTTTTATCCCATGAACGAGCGTCCAATAAAGTAACCAGGGTTTTGGATTTCAGCTGGTGTTGTGACTCGCATTAACTTCAAAATTACTTAAACGCAGTGGCTACGTTCACGGCGCCCTGAACGTAGCCTGCAGACTACGTTCACGGCGCCGTGAATATAGTTTGCGGTAGATGTTGAGGCTACGTTCACGGCACTCAAGCTTCGTTTAGATGGACCGTCCACTGCCGGTTTAAGTCAGCCGGTTTTAGTCAATCACAGGCTTAAAATTAAAAGACAAGACAACGCGATTTGGTTTGCGCAGCTTGGTGCAGCAAAGTTGGTTTATTAGTGAGCTGTCTCTGAAAATCGTATTTTTCATATTTCGTGATGTACACAAAAATATAAAATTTTAAGCATTCAATTTCCTGAAATACCATCCTATTGCAATGAGTTTGGTATCAAAATGCTCAGAATGACAAGTTTTTATAATATGTGGATTGATTTTTCACTTAAATCCAATATGAAAATTCAGTGTTTTATAATATATATGACTTTCCTTTGGTGAGCTTACCTGTTTTGTTCCGTGTATATTCCTCTGGATTGAGCGATCTAACGCCAGGTTTGTATGGTTTCTTCTTTTTACTTCAGACATGTGCCTCAACGAACATTGAATATGTATATATGTATGAAATAAAGCAAGTATGTTGAGAAATCGAAGTGACACCAAATTAAAGAAGCTGGAAAGTTGTTTTTGTTATATCTACACAAACACCTCAGTTTTTTTTTCTTTTCACCTTGCCCTCTGCATTCCCTGTCCAATACTGAAGAACATGGGTCTGCGACTCTCTCTCACACATTTTATTCTCCCCCACCCCCTTTACCAACATTCTCTCTCTCTCTCTCTCTCTCTCTCTCTCTCTCTCTCTCTCTCTCTCTCTCACCTCCCTCCTTTTCCCCCAACAACAAAAAAAACTGATTAAAAAACAACACATCAGAACAATAACTAGAAAGAAAAAAATACACACTAACAAAATAAAACACCACAAAGAGGGAAAAATAAAAGTAACTAACGTATTCAACAAATCAACGTGGTGACAACAAGTGAGAAAGACAAAGTGAAGCTATGTGAACTTTCTTTCAAAAGTAAAGAGGTTCGGTTTCTTTCATTTTTTTAAATTTTTAAATTTGACTTTTATTCCCCGATTCGGGGACCAAAAAATGCCCAAAAATCGAGCCACAATTGATTGGTCGCGGCCGCGACAAACGCAGATGCTAGTTCTATGTGTCGTTATCAATAACTCTCCGTAGATCTAGATCTAGATCTAGACAGCACCCGAGTGAACACAACACATTCATTAGGTTTAAGAGCAGCACCCTTCATAGGCAACACGTCATATATGTAGCGAAAAACTGCTTGGAACTGTAGCATTTCTTTATACAAATATTTACTGCGGACATTTTTTGGACCGATTGAACCATATTGTATACAAACAATCTTTGGTAGGCCTATACTATAATTATAGATCTATATAATATCCGAAATTTGCGGGAAAGGATGTGATTTCAGAGTGTTCGGAGAAATAGTGCCCAGCTTTACTTTCCCGAACGTTCGGAGAAATAGTGCCTAGCTTTATTTTCCCGAACGTTCGGAGAAATAGTGCCTAGCTTTATTTTCCCGAACGTTCGGAGAAATAGTGCCGGCCTTATTATAATGTATCACTTAGTAGTGTGTCTTTCTGTCTGTCTTCACGAGTTCTTACAGTGAGTATTGTCAGAGCTGCTGATGTGTATAAGTAGAGTATGAACAGGCGGGAGAGAGGGGGAAACAAAGGGGGGGGGGGGGGGATTATTGAGGGGAAAATCTATTAGCACTGTGTATTAGTGTCCGCCAGATGTTCACTGACTGACGTCATATTAGTTTGCTGTGGCTGTCCAGTCATTTGATCCCAGCGATGGCGCATGACCGTATGCAGATATGAGCGCCGTCCGTAAAACCTCTACTAAAACAAACGATCCCAACGATGGTTATAGTGCCGCAATTTGTCTAACAAGTTGTCATGACTTGTTGACATCATTTTAAATTACCTGACAAATGATGACACTGCGAATGATGAGGGCAAATATATCAAAAGGTAAGGTAACAATATTAACAAAACTATATTAACAATTGAGCACAAATTTTAAATAATGCTTAAACCAAAGCATGCAGGATAATCGCGTTGTCTTGTCTTTTAATTTTAAGCCTGTGATTGACTAAAACCGGCTGACTTAAACCGGCAGTGGACGGTCCATCTAAACGAAGCTTGAGTGCCGTGAACGTAGCCTCAACATCTACCGCAAACTACATTCACGGCGCCGTGAACGTAGTCTGCAGGCTACGTTAACGGCGCCGTGAACGTAGTCTGCAGGATACGTTCACGGCGCCGTGAACGTAGCCACTGCGTTACTTAAAACCACCGGGTTTTCCGATTGGAAAAAAATCCATGAAAGCTAGATTTCTACGTAAGTAAACTATGCTTTAGTTTTCACCCTAAAATAAACCGCAATTAATATTTTTCTAGTTTTTTTAATCTGTAGCTAGGCTGGCGTTTTTAGTTTTAGTCACAAATTTCAGTAATCTACTGATGATTGCCAATGTAAAACATGATGGGCAAATATGATGGGACTGACTTGACTATAATTATATTATGTCGGTTGAGGCTCAAGAAGAGCCTATTCAATTAACTTTTAAATGACTGACTATCTTATTACATGCAGGCTAGACGAATCAGTCTTGGCAAGTGACCGATTGTAGTTCGTCGGGAGATCCTTCCAGTATTCATTCAAATGTCTCTTGAATGTGTCCACCGTTGGAGCTGACAACACTGACTCAGGGAGATGAATTGTTCCAAATAACATTCAATCGATTTTCAAAGAAGTTCGCCCTCACACAATGCTTCTTTTTTGCTTCTGGAGCTTCTCGTTCAGTTGCCATGGAGTTGTGTGGTTGTTGCTTTGTAAAAGCTGGTCTTTTGGTGATGTCTTAGATATATGTGTATGTTTCGATCATATCACCATGTAGCCTTCGATGTTCCAGGGATGGATCCGAAGCTTTTTAAAATACTTTTTTCAGTCTTTCAGAATAAGTGTTTTCTTTGAGGTGACTCCAGCATTTTGGTGCCCCGCCTTTGAACTTGCTCGATTTCACTACATAGTCCTTTTTCAAAGGGTTGCCAAACACAGTGTAAACTCTAAAAACGGCCTTGCTAAACTCTTGTAGAGCAAAACAAACGTATTCTCAGAAAAGTAGAATCTAATCAAATGATCGCCTGATAAACAGCTTTTGATGTTATCTGGGCTACGTGCTCTTGAAGGTTAGTTTATCATCAACCACTACTCGTCCTAAGTCTTTCTCTCTCTTTGTTTATATATAGTCAGTGTGTCTTGATTGATCCGAGGTGCTACCATCCACTGTTTCGTCCATAACGTATTCAGATTCTTAACTTAGGCCATCTGTCTACCGTATCATGATATATTCAGATATGCAATGTTGTAATGATATATATTTATATGATATTACCAGTGGCGGTGGGTAGTGAAGGGCTTACGGGCTTGAGCCCATACCCCCTCCCCAACCACCACCCCAACTCTATCCTAAAATAAATGAAAGTTTCTCCATAATGAAAATTAGCAGTTGAAACCGTTATGACCTCACGGAATGAACACAGAGTGATCAACCTGGCGGCTTGCTCGCTTCCAATCACTGTTGTCCCCGCTTACAAAGTTATAGTAACCCAGCAGCCAATCAAATGTCTTTAGGGCTCAGCCAACAGGAGCCCTTTTCCCACAGTCCGTCCATAATGAAACTCTTCTTGTAAAAAGGTAGAAGACTGGGAAAAAATAACAATGTACCGCGGGCTCACGCTCTCCTAGCCCTGACTAGGGGGTGAAAGTTTACGACACACTTTCCCCCACAGACACAGATACCTCTATGCGCTCATTGGTTCTTTGTTGGGTGCGTTCAACTTTCTCGACTACACGGCCTAATCCAGCTCATAGAAGTATTATGTTTGAAGTGCTGTGTGTGCATGTTTGTGTTTGTGCTGCTGAGATTTAACAGTTATAACTTTTTCATCACACGAAAACTAATTAGAGGAAATTTGGAGGTGAATCGGCTTCGTCCCCACCATCAACAAGAATTTAACTAAGGACAAAGAGATTGAAAACAAAAGCAACTCTTCTCGTTTGAATGGTTCTCAAACTGCCGTGGCTCACCGTGAGTATAGAAAAATCATCACTGTTTAATTCTTATTGCTTTCTATTTGGTGGTAAAAAACTGGAAGAAACCTAAGCCCCACCCAAATTTTGGTCCACCCACCGCCACTGGATATTACCTCATCACAACTCACCAGGTAAAAGAGCTGTTCCATTTTGAGCTTACCACATGTGGATTATCATGGGCTCTGCCGACTTCTCAACTTTTCCTTTTTTGCTTTGTGTTGTTAAAAATACCACATCATTACAGATACATTATTATATATTTTGTATGGTGAGCCAACACTGAAATGAAGAAATATGTTTATAATTGGCTTGCATGTAAACTTTGTCTTACTTCCTGTGTACTTTGATTTTCTGTTTCAGGTGTGCAGGAAGATAAAAGGAATTATAACTTATAACTCAACATATCCTATGATGGATCGCCTCAGTCTTCTGGATCGTGTTGCTGTGATTACAGGTTCAGATAATTGTTTTGTCAAGATTACCTTTAAAACATTATTCTGATTAATAACAGTGAAATCAGTCCAATCTTTCAAAATTTATTTTGAAATAAAGTCGAAGCAGGCAACAGGGGGGCTCTCGTGGTCTAGAGGTTAAGGTGTTGGCCTCTCATTCAAAGGTCCCGGGTTCGAATCCGGGTAGCGACCAAAAAATTTTCGTCTCTAAAATTGTTTCCTTTCACCTCCTTTCCTGCTCTCTAGCAATGTTCTCTTGTCTGCTTTCATTTCCACTTTCTGCCCCCACCCCCTCACCTCCTTTGCCCCCTTGTCTGGGCTCCTGACTCTTTCTGCAACCTTTCTACTGCTACTCCTTGGCTCCTCCTTACTGCTGTCTTTCTGCCACACCCCTGATCTTCTGGTAGGAAAGATCTACACCTAACCTTCCCAGACATGGGCGAAAAATCTCGGAGGGCCCGTGTGCAACTTGCACACGTTAAAGATCCCTTGGTGGTCTAAAATCGATAAGAGTAGATTTCGGCCGCCACCCGAGCAAAATTCCAAATTTCCTACCAACTGAAAATATTAGGTGTGTCCCGCGCCCTCATATGACCTTATGCAGTTGCGAGCGCCGTAAAACACTTTACAAAAACAAACAAAGCAGGTAACAGTGTTGTCCTTTTATACCTTTATAATGAAATGACATGAATTTACAGGTGATCAGGTGCACACATGAAAGAGATGTTTCATATTTTCTCCTCATAATTTCATTGAGACTGTGCTGTTGTGGAAATAATTCCTCAATTTCATTGATTTACTTCGTAAATATTTCTTTGATATTAATTATTACCCTATTCTGCAGCCAAAATTGATTTTTGTAACATTATTTGTGCATACTATGACTTAACTTGCTCCTAAAATGCTTTTCTCTTCTTTTCTTCAGGAAGTAGTTCAGGAATTGGAGAAGCCACTGCTAGACTTTTCTCAAAGCGAGGTGCAAAAATTACAATTCATGGACGCAGTGAAGAGAAGCTGGAAGAAGTGAAGCTAATGCTTTTGCAGAATGGATCTACGTCAGAAGAGGTCAGCTTTGATAGTGCAGTCTAGCAGGCACATATAGTGAAATTGGTGGGATATTGAAATCTCTTCAATGTATATATATATGTATTTTGCTATGTAGGCCTACATGTTTTGAATTTAAAAAATATGGGCACCAGTTTAGTTCAAGGTGTACCGCTCTGCGGCGGCTGCCGTAAGTCCCACTCGATCAGCCATAGTCTACTGCGATCTAGGTGGATAAGTGTATTTCAGTGTAAGTCCCTTCTGATTCGCCACAGTAAAGACAGTGCTGAGGGCATTAAATTAGATCAAGTCTGATTGGTGTTTACAATTCAGGTGTGAGGGTGGGTGGATTGCTTCGTTTTGCAGTGTCGTTAATATCAAAGAATCTTGCCGAGGTAAAGATTATGATATTGACAAGTAAGTCCCGACAGTATAATGATGAGACATAAGTATTTTCAAGAAGTCAAGGCCCCATGCCCCCACCCTCAACCTCCCACTTCCCCTTCCCCCAACCTCTGGCTTCTCTCCCCCCACTGCCTTGGACTGTCCCCGTCGTTTTATTCAAGAAAAATTCTGAAATTATGCAAACTGAGCCCAAAAATGTGAAATTATGCGATTCTGGTAATTTTAACAAAGAATGATAAAGGAAAATAATATCAGAAATTATGCAAAAAATTATCAAATTTTGCAAAATTATGCGGGGTGCATATAATCACGAGGACAGCTTGGAAAAACAGCCAAAGGCATACGATAACTCATGAACTTAACTCAAAGAGCAAAGGAACATGTAAGACAATGTGTATTTTATCTCAAAGGCCAGGATATTTTTCAGAATAGCTTGTAGAATGCCAATTATAATGGTGTATTCTTTGTTACATATTGATTTTTGTGATCATGAAATTCGAGTCACAAGTTGTTTTGGTGTATCTCAAAACAAAAAATACAAATTGTGTCAGACACAGATATTTTAACAACAAAAGTTGTACTTGTGAATGTTTTGCACCCCACCAAAGCAATTTAGATCACAGATGTTTCATGAATAGTGTAGAAAAGTGAAATTGACTGTTAATCCGTTTTATCTGTTGTACTCTAAGGTTCAAATTGTTAATTTAATGTGAATAAATGCAGTCTGAAATGCACACCATCGTTTATGGTGTTGTGATAGTACATGTATGAGTTTCTGGTATACCACAATATTGAACATGTTCATGCACATGTATTTTTTGTAAATTACTTCTTCTTCTTCTTCTTTTTCTCCTCCTCCTCCTCCTCCTCCTCCTTCTTCTTTTTTTTGGGATATGTAATCAATTTTGATAGCTCCCTTTTCTTCAGTAGGTGCACACAGTGACAGGTGATATTACAGACCCTGCTGTTCGTGAAAAAATGGTGGAAGAGACTGTTCAAAAGTTTGGCTGCATAGATATTTTGGTGAGGATGACTGATACATTTTCTTTTTACACATGCTGGTCAATTGATACACTGCATATTTCTTCAGATAGAGTTAATCAGAAATTGGAATTTTGATATCTGGAAAAAAAATGGTTTGCTTTTGTTATCATAAGTGAGTATATGTTTATAAATTATATAGAATATCTTCTGCTTCTTCTATGATGGACTTATTTTCTAGGGAAATCTTTTCTTTACTCTGCCAGTCTGGAGACACAGCTGTGACCATTCTGACTGAATCAAAGATAGTACATAACAAGATGGGCCACTTCTCTCTTTGAGCCAATTAAAAAAGTGTCCTCAAAATTTGGTGGCGCCCTCTTCACAAAAGCGCACTCTTTGCGAACAGAGTTACCCTACTTGAGTTTTAAAAAATCAAAGTGAAACTAGCAAGTTTTGGGATAAATTTCGGAAGAACGCTTTTTTAAAATGGTTACGCTGACAAAAAACCTCTTCCGGAGGAAAGGGTGATGGTTTTCTTCATTTAATTTGACTTTAGAATGAAAGACGAGAGGTCATTAAAATAAAATAAAAATAAAACTCCGCACTGAACGTACCCGAACTGCTGATGAACAGCAGTCGATCTGCGCACGCAAGGAGGTGCTATTCCTATTCTTCTTCTGGAAAAACGAAAGAGAGCTTCAAAACAGACTGCAGCGCCATCTGAAGCAAAGAGCATACTTCCTGCGGACACTTTTTTGGCTGAGTGGCCCATCTTGTTATTTACTATCTTTGACTGAATTAATCAACTTTACCATTTTTATGTTGCTGTTGAAGTTAAATTCTCTTCCCGCCCGACACTATAAAAATATGTAGGTCATTTTGAAGTTGGAGTGCTTGCTTCTCCCATTAGAACATTGGGCTTTGATGCTGGAATGGCAAGAGGAACTGTAATTCAGGTCCCACTTCTTTATGGTCTGAAAATTTGATGTGGCTGATCAAGTTCTTCACTAGTTATATCACATTAGTATAAGTGCTGAAAGTATATCGAGAGCATTATATATATATATATATATATATATTATATATTATATATATATATTTATATATTAGGCTTCACCGGTTGACCTCTTTTAATGCACCCTTCCTTCATATTAGGGTATCTTTTCAGGTTGCACTTATATTTTTTCACCCTTTTGTTCATGTGTCTTTTCTAAAATCTAACAACGTATTTTGTTGCCAATTATTATTCTAAAGAAAGAGTTAAAAACAAGTTTAATGCTGTGGGAACCATCTGGAGTTTACCTTACTATTCTATGAACTGTTTTGTGTATAAGCATGCTGTGACAACAAACTGTTGTGTATTTAGTGTATCCCCATCTGGCCCCCCCAGGAAATCGCGGTCTTGTGGCCGCAAGTGCAGCGCGTTTTTCGTCGTGTTCCGCAATAAACCCGCAATTTTTTGCAATTTTCGTAATTTCTTGCAATTTTGGGCAAAAAAACATCAACGCTTTAATTTTAACAGAATTTTTAATACTAAATGGTGCGAGTAAAGAATCCATAGGCCTACGTATGGTTTCGGCCCAGCTCTAGCCTACTGGGCGTACTCTAAAAGCTATAACCGGAACTTCAGGCTGGAATAAATTATACAACACAAACTGAGACCAAAGATACTACACCTATAGATCTAATGTGTGTAAGCGTGCGCGTGTGCTAGAAAGTAGGTGTGTGCGTGTGTGTGCACGTGTAAAGTGTACGTGTGTGTGTGTGTGTGTGCGCGCCGCCCGTGAACATTGTTCGTAATCATACATGATGCATGTATCTACATGACATACACGGCGGTAATCGGGCACCTAGTCTCAGTATCTACGTACACGGTAAACGGAATGAAAATAAATCAATATTTGTCCTGTGTTGTCACTTGTTTTAAAAAAAAGAAAGTCATACATGTGCAAGCGTCTTGTCGGGCCCGCCATCGTGACCGGTCAGTGGACCTGGGCTTTCGCATCACATTGTGAGTACCGGTTGGGGGTCACCAAAGTTCATTCAAAGTTTGTGCGCTGCGAAGTATAGATCTAGGGCTCCGGAATTGGGGGATTATTGATTTTTTTTTTAAAGTTTAAGGTACAGTCGGGAGAGGGCTAGGGTTGAAGGCAACACCGGATGACAAAAACTGAACTTGGAGTTCTGAACTGCCTGGTTACCGTGTAAGTGACACCGGTTGCCGGTTACTGTGTACATAGACACTGAGGCTAGGTGCCCGGTTACCGTGTACGTAGACTCTCCGTTATATGCAAAATGCCTTATGCTGCGTTCACACGGGAGTGGGCGATATAGAAATGATCTACATTATTATTACTACTGTTTATAAATTGAAAAAAAAATGTTCTGTATTTTACGATTTGACTTAGTGTTAAAACAATACCCTACTGGTTTTTAAAAAGAAAATATCTGAAATAGATCCAAACACAGATTACCTGTGTATCGAAGGTTTCAAGAAAAAAATAGAACAGGATCTGAATTGATTGGAGCATAAGCTAATTTTGCATTTAGAGGTTGTTTCCAAAGTCTCCCATAAAATTTTTTGTTTTGATAGACTCAACCTCATACTACACTTTTAGATCTTTGCAAGAACCAAGTACCCGGTATAACTAAATTTGGTCAAATTTTATGCCTTTATTTAAAAGTTATTACGAAAACAGAGGGTTCCGTTTTGCGTCACGCGGTATTATATTCTATTTGGTCGATAACTTTATTGTTAACGTACCCGAGTGTTGTTACTAGTAAATCTTGTTAATAAAATTTGTATTGTGGGTCATGATTTTTTAAAAGGCCATTCTGCTTTTATGCTACCGGTACTCAAATTGTTATGTTTTTTAAACTAAAAATGTTAAGCCCGTACTAATGCACCAGGGATGGGAAGGTTGCAATTTTTAGGCAGTTTACCTTGGAATTTTTTGCAATTTTTCTATTTCAAAAATGCAATTTTCCGCGGGGCCAGATCCCCATTACATCCTCGTGATTGCCGGCTCAGAAAGATAATGAATTTCACGCATTCATGCATGTGCATTTGTTATGTTCTACTTTTCATTTTCTGGCAGTGAATCGAGCATTTAGACACTCTCTATCATATTATTGTTGCAGAGAGTGTCAAAGACTGTCAGTCTATATTATTATATTAAAAGGTTTCACTTTTCTGAGTATTTTTGGACTTTTTAAAATATAACCTGAATGACTTATTTGTGTCATAGTTTTTTTTCCACTCCACTTCCCTGAATTTTAAATATATTTATTCTCATTTGATATTGGGTAAGTTCTGTCATTTCTTCATCTTAATGGATACTTTAAATGTGAGGCTTTATGGTGAAATCAGGCGCTCGTTGAAATATGATTTTGAAGAAACCAAGATTTTCCCATCCGTTTGGCAATTTTTATCAAAACGTTGTTTTTCAGCTCAATACCTTTTATGTCCAGTTATAAACACATTAAATATTACTGTGCAGATTTTACTGAAAACATGGAATAAAGTCACCCAAAAATGTAAATTTGTAGTTTCCAAGTATTCTCAGGCTTTGGAAGTTACCAAACATATAATAACGGTCATTTTCTCGCTAATTTTACTTCTGAAATCAGATGACCCCCACTTTCTTCAATCGCAAATATCTCAACTTCTATTCAAGATAGATCAGTATGTTTTAAACTGAAAGCTAGACAAATGAACAAGCTTTACGATGATACCTATAAAGTCACATGACCAAAAAGTGACGAGCGCCTGATTCCACTCCGTGGTGACCCAAATATCATTGATGTGTAGACTTATAACTTAGTGCATTTTGAGGAGATCTATGCTGCTATTGTTGTGTACAGCAAGATTGTTTCTTTTCTTAAGGTTAACAATGCAGGTGGAGGTGGCCAGGCAGGCTTCCTTCGTGATGTCACCGAAGACCAAATGGACTTTGCTTTTAATGTGTATCTGAAAGCACCAGTTCTTCTATCAAAATTATGCTTACCATATTTGGTCAAACGTAAAGGTAATTCATATTTTGTGTTTTCTATGAAACTGTAAGTATCTAAATACTTCTTAATAGTCTATTTGAATTTAATTTTTAATTATTACATCCATGAAACAAATTTAACACTGTGAAAAGGGAAACAAGTGGAAGACAAAAAATGCATTTTCATTTGTTTTTTTAAACTACAGTGGAGTCCACTTACAACTAGTCCTGAAATAACGAGAGGTCTGTTATAAAAATACTATTCTAAAACCCTGTTTTTCTCTCTTCTTTATCTTTGTAAATAAAATGCTGCTATAGCGCAATCAGGAAAACACGGCGTCCGTTATTGCGGAATATATAAAAATTGCTGCTGCTGTGCACAGCACATAGGCCAATTATACATATTATGCAAAACCTCGCCAGTTGAGAAACTTGTTGGTGATCTAACGAAACATAGAATGGGAGAGCCCACGTGTGCCAACAATGAAGGCTGGAGCGATTGAGTGGGGAGGGTGTGGCATGCGCAGACAAGCAGAGCGCATCGCTTGATAGGCCAGCCTAGTCTAGATTTTCTTTGCCTACCATGCCTCTCACTTCTCCAGTGAGGGGATGGTGAAGTCACAGTGCTGTGATGGATGGAGCGAATGTGTGATGTGGGCAGGGTGAGGTGTGCACCCAATGTGCACATGCAGACGGAACGCACCACAGGGTATGGTGGGGTGGGGGACAACACTATGGGCGAGTTGGCCTAGAGCCCTTTCTGTCTGATCGCCAACACCGAGCTGTCAACAGGGATAGCGCTATAGAAAGAAAGACACCTGATTCAATTTTTGATCAAGTAAGACCTGGAGGTCATGTTGAACAAAATCATCGTCAAGGGAGATAACAAAAAGAAATAAACAACGCCAGACTCATAGATTAGGCCTACTTTAATATTTTCCTTAAATTTATTACTGGATTCCTTATAACGAGAATCCTGCTATAACGGATTATATTTCGCACCAGTCCCCTACCTCTCATTATAACAAGATTCTACTGTATAATGCAAAGTTACTGAAAGCAGTGAAAGCTACTTAATTGTTCAAGAGCACGAGTATCGTTTTTGCACATGTATATATATAATATATGTGTCACGACGCGGTGGAATCAGGCACTCATCAATTTTTGGGCATGTGGAGTTATTGGTATCGTCTGAAAACTTGTTTATTTTGTTTTGTTTTCAATCACAAAAATAAGCATCTATCTTGAATAGAAGTCAAGATATTTGCGATTAGAGGTGAGGTCGCCTGGTTTCAGTGGTGAAATTAGTGAGATGATGACCGCCGAAGTTTGGCAACTCCAATACATGTAGCTGAAGAGTCATTGAAAACCGAAAAATGACATATTTGGTGCCTCTAATTAAGGTTTTTCAGGTAAATTCATATGGAAATATATTTTTGTGTGGACACAAAAAGATTCGAGCTAAAAAAAACAAAATTTGACAAAAATCCCCCAACTGGTGGAGAAATGCCCTTTTCTCTGATTTCGTTAGAACTTAGTTTGACAAGCGCCTGATTTCACCTCGATGTCTCACATATGTTTGTAATGGATGAGCCACAATCTGTTTCATGTGTTGAAACTAGTGCTTTTAGAGTTTAGAGCAAAATAAATAGCTTTAATTTCTGTTGTAAAATCTCTTTTGCTTTCTTTTTTCCTTTTGCAGGAAATATAATCAATGTCTCTGGAATCACAGCAACAGAAGTGGTAATAAATGTTCACACTTTCTGAATCTTTTATTGTTGACTTGGGAATCTGTTTTGAAAGTTAACGATCAGTCTTTTCAGGAGATTTGTTTTTCTGTAGGGCCTACTTTGCTAATGTATAATTAAGAGAAATGACTCGTAAGATTTTTAAATTTTTTTTTCAACTTTATCGAGGCTACTACTACTCTATCCTCCATTTTTAATTAGGTGCCTGGAAATATAGGAATTTGCATGCATTTATGATGTATTGTGTACAGAGTTTGAAGATAATCATCATGGATATAATTGTTTTTCTTTACTTCTGTAGTTCATAATAATGAATACAATTACTAGCTTAAAATATTTCCTTACTGTTCTGTCTATGCACCGAGATCTCTACATTTGTGGGATGGAATAATATTTGTACAAATTTTTTGTTCTTTGATGCTGTTATGTCAGTTTCTTTTTGTTTTTTTTATCATTGCTGCATGAAAAATGCCCCCTGTCAGTAAATCTTCTTTACTATCTTTGTATGTCTTTTTTGTCGTTTGAGCATGCATCACGTATGGTCACTTTTAAGCACAAGGGGGCTATCCCAAAAAATGCTGTTTTGAGAGGCTGTCCCAAAAAATGCTGTTTTGAGAAAATCGAAGGTTAAGTTTTTGCCCCTTGTTCAATTTCTTTAAAAGACAAGAAGAGTTTTCTCTGTCACCAAACAAATATACACACCAATGAAACCAAACTTCTCCTACCATAGGTTGGGCAATGCCCACTTTTTGTGTCGGTCAAGATTTCTGGGTTAGCCCGCTTAAGTCCTTAAAAGCGACCATATATTTAATTGCACACAATACATCCGGAAGGTATCTGTATGGGCTGTAGTACTGGAATGAGTTATTGTACAGATGCCCTTCCTTTATTGTACACTCAAGCATGCTCACTGATTATGATACTTTATGTCTATTTTCTTTTTTTTTCCTCTGTATCACAGTGGCCAGGTGCTTTTCCCTACAATAGCTTTGCAAAAGCTGGCCTAGATAACTTCACCAAATTTGCTGCTGCAGGTGAGCTGAAAACCTATGTTACCAAGAGTTTATTTCCCCTTTTTCAAATTAGCTGAGACATAGTTGTTGTTTTTTTAATGGGTGCTCTTACAATGTCTGATCAGCTCTGGTGCAAGGCACCCCATTACTTTCACAAAACCAAAAATTGAAGGAGATACCAGTCCTCAGCTTGATTGTTTTGGGGACCATGTGATACTAGTCACAGCATAATTCTAGCAACAGGGAGACATATTTGTAGATGGTTACTATATCGATGTGGATACTGATTACCAATTGGTGAACTCGATATTGCTCGATAAAAGTTGCCCCTGAATATAGCAAAAGTCTATAAATGTAATTTGTAAAAGCAATTTTAGAATAACTTGTGTCTTTGATTATATCGATTCAAGCACTCGTATCATATGACGACAAGCATTTAATCAACTGAAGGGAAAAATGTTTGTCTTTAACTTACATCGGAGCGTAACATTTTGTTTTTATTTCAATTTAATATGGATGATAGATAATTATATTTTTCTGTTTGAAGAAAATCCATATGGAAATGATGTGATCTTGTATTGGTTGGGGGTTTTTGGGGGGGTCAGAAAGTGAAATTGGCATGAAAAACAATCCTGGTTTCATCAATGGAAGATGTTACGGGACTGGACTAGCGCAACCCACTGGAGGACTGTGCAGTCCTCTAGCAGTGCTTATAGGTCTACTCAGGGACTGTGCAGTCCCCTAGTGTTTCGCACTGGGGGACTGCAAAGAAACAACCTTTGCCCTTTGGGTCGAGGTCAACAAGCCATCATCACCTATTACCTCCCATAGTAATATGTCTATCTGGTTGTATGCTACGATTTCAGTGCGGATATAGTATAAGTAGTAGCAGTAGCTTGCTCTTTTCAAAGCTCCAACACCTTTTCAATCAAAAGTTTAAAAAATATGAGATTTTTTCTGGAAATGTGTGTGTGCCCAAAGAAAGGTACCAAAAGTCGGATTTTGACCATTTTGAGTTAAAGGTTGTATCTTTTTGGAAATTCATTGCTGAACTCATGGGTTTTTGAATTTCTTAGATATCTCGAACAGTTTTTGAGATATTGCCCGTTTTGCGAAGTAGGGTGTAAAAATATAATTTTGAGAAAATGAGCTTTTAAGTTTTAGCAAATGTGAGAACACATACAAACTTTAAAAAAACGATTTTTAAAATACAGTCAAACCTGTGTAAGACGGCCACCCATTGTCAAGGAGAAAAGTGTCCGTACAAGACAGGTGGCCGTCTTAGACAGGACTGATCTAGATAAAGAAAACAAACCATTCCCATCTGAGGTCCCAATCGAAAGTAGCCCCATTATGTTGTCTTTGTTGGTGTTGTTGTTGTTGGTTTGTATTTCGTTTGTAATTTTTATTTTTTCGCTGATTTTGCACAAGGGTGACAATAAAATGAAATGTATCAGACAAGGAAGACCGAGTGCCATGTTAAAACAAACACATGGGTCGCCACCACTCGGAGAACGAGCGACGCTTCTGTCACACATTCATGTTGACGTCCATTGTTACTTTGTTACAGACTGAGTAAACAGTGACCACTCATCTCACTTACGATTTGTGTATGAGTTCTGGGCGGGGCTTATGGGTTATGAGGGATCACACGCTTACCTCACCAGCAGCTGAAAATTGGTAGCTATTGGTCAACATTGGGAGGGGCCTACGCAACATGATCGGTTGGAGGGACTACCTAACAACAACGACAGGTGATTGAATTATGACGGCTCGCCCACGACGCCAGGGGCCAATGCACAATTTATGACAAAACGTAAAGGAGTCACTAAGGTGGCCGTCTAAGACAGGTGTTATTGCTTAGTATGATAGGGGTTGTGTGTTAAAATATGGTGGCCGCGGCCGTGTTGGACAGGTGCCTGTTTTAAACAGTTAAATTATATAGAAAAAACGCAAGGGGGGAAATGGAAAGTGGCCGTTTGTACAGGTGGCCGTCATATAGAGGTGGCCGTCAGGGCAGGTTCGACTGTATATTTATTCATAGAAAATTCATTTCCAATTCATTCTGTTGACATCGATATATATCTTGAATGGAATTCAATGGTAAAACTAGCAGGGGGAAGAGAAAACATGCTTCAACAATAGCTTTTAATACCTCTTAAAAGCAGTTTTCATGATTTGATTTTATTATACCCTTCCCTCAAAATAATTCAAAATAAAACATTTAAAAGTCAAATCATTGAAAACCCTTTGAGCACATTGTAAAAAAATGTTGGATCTATCATTTTTAAAAATAGAAACACATTTTGGTCTAAAATATGATTTTTGTCTTTACCAGCCTGTAGCTCGAAACGGTGTGGGGCGACTTTTGGTACCTTTCTCTAGGCGCATACACATATATATGGCTTATTGGATTTGGGGTAGAAATATGAGAAAATATTAAAGGTAATTGTCGGGGTTGGCAAGTCTGCTAGGCCTATATGTAGGTGGTCTTGTTGTTGTTGCAGATCAGAGAAAACTATAATATGAGATGGTTAGCTCTTTTAACCTGTCAATAATATTAGTCTACCCAGTGTAATATGATTTAAACTAAACAATGAAGATTTGAAAATTGAGAATTTTGATCTAAGTACATCATGTGTATCAATATCAGTAAAAGTATTCAAGGGTATGTACTACTTAAAGTAGAATCCTGGATTCTTCAAATTAAAAAGTATTCTTCAAATCTTTGAAAACAGAATTGAAAAATATTGAGAAATAACATTTTTATAGAGAATAAATCTAAAAACGTGGAAATTTCGATCGGAATCAGCTTTTTACTAATTCCTGTTCAGAGCATTTTGTCATAGAACATTAATAACAATGAGAAAAAAGTCAACAATGCTGGGTTTAGGGTGTGCTAAGAGGATGAACATTCAAGGTTTATTACGACAAACATCTCACTGTCTTTGCAGTCCCCCCAGTGCAGAACGCTAGGGGAGTGCACAGTCCCCTAGTAGATCTAAGCAGCGCTAGGGAACTAACAACTTCCTTCATCAATTGGCCTGGAGGTTGCGCGTTGCTTTGTTTTACAATGTTCAAAAGTCAGGAGACATGAAACATATGCTTATGCCAGCTGACTAGCATTGCAAAATAAGAAAAACATGAACTATAAAGCTGCATTAAAAAGAACAAATTTGCTATTGGATATATACATTTTGTTTTTTGAGCTTTGTTTTCTGTCTCGTTACAGTGTAAAATAAAACCTTGCGTTTGATTTTAAACAGTGCTTCCTTCTGTTAAACATTTTGAAAGCCCCGCCCCCAAATCGCCTACCTCACCCCACCTCACCCTAAAGGACCAGTGAACGTCTGCCTATGCAATGACTGTCAGGTGTGCACTGCCACTCGCCAAGGCATGTTTTTGGTGAATAGAAGAGTAAAGTTAGTCATGTTCAGGCTTGCATTAGGGTCCATTGGGTTAATACAGGACTGCCTTCCTTTTCAGAATTTGGTCAAGCTGGTGTGCGTGTCAATTGTGTCAGGTGAGTTAAAGTTCAGTGTGCTTGCTAATCTTGTGAGGTGTCAAGAAAACTTATGTGTCTTTACACATTGGAATCAGGCGCTTGTCATTTTTGGGGCCTATGGAATTTATTGTTTGTTTAATCTTAAAGCTTGAACATTTGTCTTGCTTTTGATGAAAAAAGTACCCATGTATATTGAATAGAAGTCTAGATATTTGCAGTTGAAAGAGGTGGTTGTATCTCCTGGTTTCAGTGGTAAAATCAGCAAGAAAATGGTTGCCAAAGTAAGCATGTGTGTCTTCCTAAACTACTAATTAATACATTTTGTAAGCTTTGCTTCTCTTTTACGCTAAACGTGTTGAGCCCCCCACCAAAAAAAAATCGATGAGAATTGTCCAACGGATGGAAAAATCTCAGTTTCTTCGATTTCATTGTTTTGATGAGCACCCAATTTCACCACGGGATGCTACACACATTATTTCAATCGAAAGGGTAATAATTGGATACCTAATTTTGCTTTTTGCAGGCCATAGAATATTTTGACTGGGTTGGCTTACAGATATACCCTGTTGTGCTGATTCCGCTGTCTTGCCTTCTTAACTCTCCCCCTTCCACCCCCTATTGAAGAAGAGAAAAAAATCTCTCCGTACATGGCTCAAGTTTCTTCTCTGCACAGAACATGCACACTTAGTTAACCTCCAGGTGGGAAATAATTGTTTTAATAAAAGCCTATTCCACCTTCTGGTTCTTACCTCTTACCAACACTTTTAGAGTTTCCCATTTTTTGGGGGGTAGGCCTACTAAGTTAAGCAACCTGTGAAATGAAGCATATTTTAGTTAGTGAACTATCTGGGTCACTAAATGGGAGTACAAGAATAATAACATGTGTACAAATAGGTCTGACTTAGGATAAAAATATAACTTAATGCCGTGTCCCTTTAAAAAATGAGCCTTTCTTATGTCTTCAATACTAAAAATGACATGACAAGACCTTCGAATCATCAAGGAGGATGATGTTGGCCTACTACAGCCAATTTACCTCTGTTAGAAACAAACACTGTAAACACAGGTGGCAGCTATCCATTGTACCACCTCCTCATACTGTTTTCCTTCTCCTAAATGTTTCCATTCTGATGGGTTGGACTTTTGTTTTCAAATTAATTTTATGTTAGTCCGTTGTTGCTTAGAAATGCTACTTTTCTCGTTTTGACTTTTGCACCAACTGAAGTTATGGCTTGCCTTTCAACAGTCTAAAGTTGATTATGGTGTAATAAGCTCACTAACTATCTAGGCATAGGTATATGGTGCAAACAGCTGCTCATGTGAATGCCAGCTGATGTACTCAAAAGTGGTGTACGTATCATAATGATATATATTGGTCCTGGAAGCAGCTGAACCAAACAACTCCCCCCTCATGTGAAAACCCCTTTATAAATGCCAACCTCATTACTAATTCAGTTTTGTGAAGATCTTAAGAGTTACTGGAATGAAATTGAGAATAACAATATATTTTGATTGGCACAATTTACAATAAAGTAGACCAGCGGTCCCAGAGCGTGGAACGTCTCCTCAGAAACAAACGCGTCACAGTCTCCTCCCCACCCCCTCCCCCTGGCAACTGATTATTATATAACAATGATAAGCTAGTCTTGACGCAGATCTACGTAATGAATTGTGCGCTGGTCTATGGAATCAAAAGTTGCCGAATGCTAGGCTCTACACAGCAACACAACTTTTTAGCAAACAATCGAGATGACACAGGTGTGCATTTGAATGAATTGGTCTTTATTTGCACTACTCATAATAAGCAGGCATTTCAGGCACCACTTGCTACTTCCCTTTATACATTACTTGCGCAGTGCCTGTAATTATCTACACAATTACCCCATGTTTGCTGTAACGAACACTCGGATCCAACGAGATGCTAGGTCATGCCCAGCGACCTCGTTGAATCCGAGTTTCACTGTATTAGATTTAATATTATTGTTTCAGGCCTGGCGTGGTTGTGACTCCGTCTTTCAATGCAGCATTTCCTGACAGTAGTGTTCGTGAGCAAGTATGCTTTTCTCTTCTTTTTACATTCTCTGAAACAAAACTGAATATACTTACATATTGAGCGATCTTATATAATACTGATTATTGCATAAGATTTTTTTAAAAACATAGCTAAGTCTCTGCTCATGTGCTCATAATATCTTATGTTGCTGGTATTGATTTTATTTGTCTTCAGATATTTGACCCCCTCCCCACCAGGGCAGTGCTACTGACTGGAGTCGTCTTAAGGCCATTCCCAAAGGGAGGGGATATTAACATGTTCTTATTCACAATAGAATTGTAAATGGGCTGATTTTTCAATGGCATGCTCGTACTGTGCTGGAACAACAGAAGGGGAACTGTTGCTTTTTCTTTCCTGATCCTTATTATCGTCATTTTCCTCTACTTCTTTTGTATCTTTGTCTCTGTCTTGTGAACTGCTATTTCTGGGGTGCGTTGATAGTGGAAGCAGACTTTATGCTGTTGAAGCTAGGGAGGTGAGCAGAGTTAGCTTGATTCCCTGTTTGGACTTCTCTGTTGACATCCACCCCTTGGCGCTCGTATGACCTTATGCAGTTGCATGTGCTGTAAAACCTTACTAAAACTAAACTAAAGATATTTTAAGCTCAAATATCTATTTATTTAGATAAATATATATATATGTGTGTGTGTGTCTGCATTTGTGTGTGTGTGCGTGTGTGCATGCGCACACACGCCCTGATATGGGACTCCTTAAATCTGAGGCAAAGTGCTTTCCTCGCATTTTAAGATATACCTGAACTAATGGTCTGTGGATAGATATATTGGGTTTTACCTAAGTTTTGGTGACATCTCAAATCCTAGGGTTGCTGGGATTGGAACGACAAACTAAAAGATCTTGTGTGCTAGCAAATAATACACCATGGCAGTTGAAAAGGAAGAAGATTGATTTTTATTAAAGCTGGCACACCTTCAAAAATGCTTGATGTTTTTTCCTGGAAAGTATTAATGTGCCAGTTGAAACATTGTATTGATACCGGTATGCACACAGGGGTGATGGAGGGGTATTTCAGAGGCCCAGCTGGTGGGATCAAGGGTCACTTGTCCAGTCAGCAAGCAGTGGTCTGTGGTATGTGGAGTGAATGACCAACTGTACTACTACCCCTGAATTCCAGTGGGCAAGTGAAAAAGTGAATGATTTCCTCTGACAGCTTTGAATGTATGTTCAATATAACAATTTATAGGCTGGCTGTATCTCTCTACTCATTTATTCCTTTCAGTTTCTCTCTTCTTGTGCAAAAAGAACCCTGCTGGACTTCAATGGAGCACCAGAAGATGTGGCAGAAATTATTGCTTTCTATGCATCTGATGCTGCAAAGTTTCTCACTGGTGACTTTACCTGTGCTGATGGAGGGAGATCCATCAACTGTAATCATGGAGAAACAATGCCACAGCCAAACTATGATGATTTTCTTACATAGCCATTATTCCCATAAAGTATTGCAATTAGCCATAATTTGTTAACAAAGCTATGCTCTTGATTTACGAAGATTGTTTTTTAAGATATTGGTGCTGTCAATGTCATTGAAAATTTTGATAATCTTTTCTTACTTTCAATGAATGATCACTTTTTATTAGCATTCTATCATTGTGAAGATGCAGTTTCATCTCTGACAAAGAAGAGTTGTGAGACCTACACCTGTGTAGATCATGACTATTGTTGAAGAAAAATAAATGTATCTCACTTTTGTCCTCATCCTCTTCATCATAAACAACATCATCATTATTCTCATTTTAAAGCCTCCTCCAATATCATCGTCATCATTTTCTTAATGTCCTTAGTTTGTCACATGAAGTCAAAATTAACCCTTCCCATGGTGTTTAACGCTTGGCTTTGCATTACTTGCTGTACTTCTGTACATGCATCATTGTTGTTGAAACTGTTACAAGGGCATAACAGATTCTTGTTGTGGCCACTTCTTAGGTGCAGTAAACCTCTCATCTAACAAATTTTTCAGGTTCAACCTTTCTATTCGTTGTATTTGAGGTTTTGTAACAATATTGTCGGATAGATGTGATAGCATTTAGGATCGGAAATGCGATGCGGATGTACAAGTAAATTTGTCAGATTGTAACTTTTAGCTCACGACAAATACCAGTTTTATTTTATAACTCACAATGGACTCACCTAGTGAACTGTTGTCTTGTGTCAGACAAGAGGTAACACCATGATTTCTATGGACCTGTGATATAACATTTTAATGAATGATGAGCTGTTGGAGGGGGGGTTGAAATCTTTTTAAAGAACAAATAGCTGCTCAAGAGACTGACCGCAACTGGAGCCCTTACTCTTACTACACTAACAGCTGTGCTTTCTTTGAAAGTGAAAGAAGTACTTCATTTTTCAAAGAGTACCATAGTTTACATGTTGTTTCATTAGTTAGGAATTTTAGTTGTGGGTTTTCTCTTCCTTCTCCTTTTTTCCCTTCATTATGCCTTTAACATGTACTTTAATTCTACTTTTATGTATGATCTTCATCTTGTTTTGCTTGTGACTATTCTAAATTCTTCCCTTTACCCTCTTCGCTACCATGCCCGTAGAATTTATGGGCCTGAACTTTGTAGCGCTGTGCCTATAGCCGGTTTGAATTTACGGGACTGTGACAGTGATTGTTTTGATACCAATTATAAGGGAAGTTACGGCTAAAATCTTGTAATTATTATTGGGGTACCTTCCCCTTATGTTTACCTCCTTTTTCCCCCCATTTGAAAGCGTCAGATTCAGATTTTAGCTCGAACAGAAGATTAGATCTAGATCTAACACGTATCTTGATCTACCACACAAATATAATTTCAGTAAAGACATGTGGGCTTACATGTAAGTATATGGATTGTATAAAGTAGGAAAAGCCTCTTGTCACTTCTTCTTTACCTGCAAACACTCACACATGGTCTCAGTTTATCATTACTCAAATGTGTGTTGTTTTATGTTGTTTGGTGGAGTTGTTTTTGGCATCATGTTACTAACTTCAACTTTTCTCCATCTGTCTCTCAATGAAATTCCCCCAAAATGATGCAATAGGAATGTGGTTCAATAGGCCTATAGAATGTACATGCAGAAGTCCACAAGGAAATACTCGTAAATAAAAGAGTTATAGGATGTAGGATGGGGTCACTCCTGAACAGCCGTGGTTCATGGGATTTCTCGCGGCACAGAGGCCTATCCTATATAATATTTACCTGCGGCATTGAAGGGGTTAATGCCTGCTGCCAATAAAGTTTTATATTTTGATTGTTTGACTAGTTTAAAAGAAAAATAATATATTGTATTTCATGGGCTCTTGAGTCGGTGAAAGAGTACCTCATTTGATAAGGGGAGCTCATTCCTTTTCTTTCCATCAAACTTTTGTCTTTGTCAGTTTACTGGCATTTTTATGATCTACTTGGTTGTTTTCACACTTGACTTTACACAATCCCCCCCACCCCACCCCTGATGTGTAACATTTGACACTGTTAATATCATCATCAAAGAAATCATGCTCAGTTGTGTTTCTTTGATATTTACTTCAGTGTAATGTCCGTGCCATTTGTTCTTCACTCTTACCACTTATCGATCTGCTATGTTCTCAAAATGCCTTCTTAGCAGCAAAGCATATATTCACTTGCACAAAATCGAAGATGCAATTTCCTTGAATGATGATTGTTTATACTTGTGCAAAAGTTTCACTTGGTATGCCATAACATATATATAATAATTATAAACTGTACATTCAGTTTTAAAGAGACTATCCAGTTTACTGCCTACTGCAAGTTGTATATATTTGGACAACATATATCTCCTTGGAATTGAAATTAAAATGCAGACTTCTTCAGACCTGTATTTTTCTTGTTTGCTGTATTCCTCCCAGATTGTAAGTCCTGCAGATGGTGATGAGTTGTCTGGTTTAATGCTCCCATTCCAGTATTTCTTCGTTTCTCATAACGTTAATCATATTATAAATTAATGGCTTCTATGGAATTAGCTTCTTGTCCTTATGCAGCTGCGAGCGCTGTAAAACCTCCACTAAAACTAAAAAGCTTCTTGTGTTATCATGTGCTAATGCTGTTCAGAAGTCAGAAGAATCTGAGATAAAAGCCAAGATCCTTTGTCACAAGCTTAATAAGATTAAGAAGTTATAACTTTTCCGTAAAAATAAATAGGCATTATATGATCAAACCTGTTGTACCACCCCCCCCCCCCTTACCTTATCTTATCTTATCTTTCTATTCGTTGTATTTGAGGTTTCTGTAACAGTAGTATTGCCAGGATCTGGACAATAAAAATGTATCTTATCTTGTACCGCCAGCTCTACTTACTGCTAGGTTTTGCCATGTATGAAAAGGAGCGCCTGTTTAATATAAACATTATATATATATAATTCTTGCATCCTCGCACCATCATCCGCCAACTGTCTTGAGTTGTACTTCCCTTATCAACAAACTAATGTTAATTTTCTCCGCCATACATCCAGCGAACTGACCGTCAGAAGTACATGTACGCCCTTCATGGTGCACGGCACTCACTAGTTGACTGCTTGATTATCTCTCTGAGAGTCTCTCCCACACCACTTCGGCCTGTAGACAAAACATATTGCTTCGCCATAAAAATAATAATTTTATTAGTATTAGCCCAAAGACCCCAAAAGTGGTGGGCACCTCCGTAAAGTTTTATTTTTGTGAGGACTCGCACTCAAGAGTGCATGACAAGTCTGAAGTAGTTGAGGACTGACGGTTACAGGGTTAATTTAAAAAACCCAACAACAACAAAAAACGCACACACTCACAGGGAGAGGCCCGGGAGAGAGAGAGAGAAGGACAGACAGACAGACAGAAACAGAGAGAGATAGAGCGAAGGAGAGAGATATATAGTGAGACAGAGAGATATACAGTGAGACAGAGAGAGAGAGAGAGACTCGGCTCTAATCTAACTTGTACTTGTTAATCACCACAACAAACCCCCACTTTAAACACACCACAATGCAAAAGCATTTTCCTTTACTTTAGGCAGTCGGAGCAATTTAAGAGAGAAACCCACCCGTTAAACCACAAGCCCCGCTATTTTGCCATCTTTATGCTGGTCCCAATAAGGGAAACAATAGGCCTGTAAAAATATAGTCAGTACAGGCATGTTGCTTGAAATACAGTGGGCCAGGACGGTGTCAGCACTCAGACGTAGTCTTTGATCTGTTGAAAAGCTGTCTGTTCAGGAGCACCCCACTGCCTTTGGGTGTCTTTCTTTGTCAGACGGTACAACGATTCCAAGATAGTCGACAGCTTTGGTAGGAATTTGCCCTAGAACTGGATTTGACCTAAGAAAGATCTCAAGCTGGACACGTTGGAAGGTGCTGGCATCTATTTTTGGACCTTTAGAAATACCGTTCTTGGAAAAGTAGTGTCCCTGGTACTCTAAGCAAGGCTTCTTTTCCTCTCAAACATCTATCGTCTGTATCCCCTTTCCTTCTTTTTTGTGTTTGTTACTCTCTTGTAAGACCTTTAATCTTCGGCACTTATTTTATGACCTTATTATGTTGCAGATGCCGTAAAACGCTAACTAAAACAAGACCCCTAGACGCATTGTACTTTTCTCTTCGTCATTGTCACATTGCCTAATCACACAGAACACGCTGCCCCCCCCCCCCTCCCCACAGGGCAGTGCTACTGACTGAAGTGTCTTTAGGCCATTCTTTTTTTTTTTTTTTTTGGGGGGGGGGGGGGGGGGGGGGGGGTGTTTTGCGGCGCTCTCAACTGCATAAGGTCATGAGCGCGCGGGACAGCACGTAATATTTTCAGTTGGTGAGAAATTCTGAATTTTCCCCGGGTGGCGGCCGACCTACTCTTATCAATTTTAGACCACCAATTTAAGGGATCTTTAACGTGAGCAACTTGCACACGGGCCGTCCGAGATTTTTAGGCCTTTCGATCGAAAATGGGGTTATTATATAGATGTTCTTATGTACAGTAGAATTGTAAATGGGCTGATTTATCAATGCTATGCTGGGCTCGTACAACAGTGCCAGAACAAGGGGAATTGCTGCTTTTTCTTTCCTCATCTTGACTATCGTCATTTTTCCTCTACTTATTTTGTATGTTTGTCCCTCTCTTATGAACTGCTATTTCCATAGGTGCCTTGATAGTCGAAGCACTCTTTGTGCTGTTGAGGCTACATATGGGATAAAAACAAACGTGTTTGCTTTCAGTTTCAGGCTTCCGAGTCGGGCGATTGGCCCGATCCAGCTGTAATGGGCACCCTATAACTGGATTCTGCGTGTTAGACTTCTCCGTTGACATCCACCACTTGCTGTTCATATGACCTTATTACATGCAGTTACGAGCGCCGAAAAACCTTACAAAAACAAACAGAACACACGAAACATTCATCAGAACACTGTACTGTCTAGAGAAGTGAGATTAAAGCTCAATGCTAGTGACGTCATGAAACTCCACATGCCGTCATGTGCTCATATGTGAACTAATTTTAGCAGGGATGATAGGTAATGATTGCTTACCAATTGAAGATGGCGGTATAGCGGGGCTGATAGTGAAACGGAGTTTTAATGTTGCTCTCTGCTGGACAGTTCCGACTGTCCTGTGGCAAAGGAAATGATTCATCTGCCATTATTAGATGAAAGACAAAATGACGAGATGGCCATCAGTCTCCTTCCATGTGAGCAACGCTAACCGACGGAGTCTTTAATGTGGGAGAACGGGCTAGATTATCGTGGCACAGCGCCGGTGATGTTGCGGGGCAAACATACAATGTATAGGTCTACAAGCTGTATATAACGCGCGCGCGCGCGCGCACACACACACACACA